CAGCTCTGTTCTTACCCTCTTTCTCCTTTTTGTTATGTTCCAACTTACCCTTCAAGCCTTCTCTAGGATGCCTTTCCAGCCTCTTCCCGGGCATGCTCAACCCTTCCCTCTTACTTTCCTCTGGGGATTCACAGCCCTTTGTACCTGCTTTTTTGTTTGTTTGTTTTTTATTTTTTTCTTTTTTTTTTTTTTGAAGTATAGTTGATTTACAATATCGTGTTAGTTTCAGGTGCACAGCAAAGTAATTGTACCTGCTTTCTGTATAAGGATATGTTTTCCTGTCTGTTACTCTTTAAACTGGAAACTCCTTGAGGGTAGACACAGCTTTGTTCATCTGTCATCAGCACTCAGTGTAAGGCCCAGCAAGGAAGAAGTGCCAGGAGATGAATGCTAGAAGTTACACAGAAGGAAGCTGGGGGAGGTGGGAGAAGAGTCTGGCCCAGCTTAGTTGTGGGGAGAACCGCACCCTGTAGTGTCTGTGCATAGGTGAGGCAGCTAAGGCAGTTTTTGGCTACAACCAGAAGGCAGGAGGGCCCAGAAATAGTTCTTACAGGTTAAACAGATACCTCAGCACAGAAGGCTGTGTAAATGACAAGAGAAACTCCTAGCACATACATTAGTGTGGGCAGTAGAGCGGTGGAGAGGATAGACTGGGAGAGGGGATTCCAGAAAGTGATAATTATTGGAGGCTCATGTTCTCAGTGCTAACTGGCACCCTGAAAATTCTCACCGTCACCCCTGACTGTGTTCACATGTAAGCATCTCGTTTGTTTACACCCTCCTCCCTTGCCTCGGGCCTGATTGTGTTAACAGTTGACCTAATTTTGCTAAAATCTGTTTGCAGCACTCAGGCTGGGAACTCTGCCACCCTCTGGCTCCCCAGGTCCTAACCAGCTTCCCTGGGTTCGCTCTGTTCACCTAGCCAGCCACCTCTGCTCTCATGAAACCTCCATGGTTTCTCTGTGGCTGTGTTCCCTGGTGTGAGGTGGATTCTGAGAGCTGAGCTCCAGTCGGGGCTGTGAGGACAGCTTGCCATATTTTTTCTGATCCCAGGAGCTGGTATTTATTTGCCTTCCACGTGCACTTTATATTGTACCTCCCCTTTCCTGCTAAAACCTCCCTTTCTTCTTCCCTTTTTCTCTCCTTTCCACCTTTGCTGAGTACCTGCTCTGGCCAGCCTCTATGCTAAGTATGAGGCTACAGAGATAAGTAAGTCTTGTGCCCTGGTCCTGAGTAACTCACAGATTACCAGAAGGTGACTGCCATGGAAGCTGAAAAACACACAGGGCCGACCTTGAGATAATACATGTTTTTAGCTGTCCAAAGAGTGGTTTGGTCAGGGAATCCTAGTTCAGAGGAGAAGGAATGGGCAGGTCTCTGTGAACTGTGGTAGGCTGGGAAGGTGGTGGGAATTGAAGAATAGGACTGAGATTATGATAGGAAGAAGTACATCACTAATAAGGCATAGACTAGACTCTTAAATTCCCTATTTTCCTCTCTTCTTTTTCTGACAATAGTTTATAGATTCTGTATTTGTCAGGGTTCTCCAGAGAAACAGAACCCATAGGTTATGTACATAGATATATATATGAGGAGATGTATTATGAGAATTGATTCATGCTATTATGGAGGCCAAGAAGCTCCACAATCTTTCCGTCTGCAAGCTGGGACCCCAGGAAAGCCAGTGGTATAATTCAGTCTGAGTCTGAAGGCTGAGAACCAGGGGAGCTGATGTAAGAGGGCAGGGGAAGATGGATGTCTCAGCTCAAGCTGAGAGAGCATATTTGCCCTACCTCTGCCTTTTGGTTCTGTTCAGGCCCTTAGTGGCATGTGGACGATTGGATGATGTCCAGTCGCACTAGTGAAGATGACCTTCTTTACTTAGTCTACCGATTCAAATACTAATCTCTTATGAAGACAACTCCACAGACACACCCAGAAATAATGCTTTACCAGCTATTCAGACATCCCTTAGCCCAGTCAAGGTGACACATAAAGTTAACCATCACAGATTCCCTTAGGACTGTGGGGTTCAGCCCGGGGCCCCACTGAAGAGAACTGACAATTCTCACATCTACTTCTCCAACTCCTACCTCTTCCTCAAATCCCACATCTACATTCTTTATTACCTATGGGATATGCCCATCTAAATGTCTCCAAACACCTCAAAGCACTTTCATTTACAACTATGCATTTGATCTTTTAGTAATTCTGTGATAATGCATTTTACAGTCGAGGAAGCTGAGACCCAGATGGGGGAAATGAATTTCATGACAAATTGGGGCAGAGGCAAGCATAGAACCCAGACTTCCTCATACTAAGTGCAGGATGCTTCCTTTGATGAAACAAAAATTTCTCTACATGAGGCCTTACGTGTAACCTCAAAGGCCTGGCCATTCAGCCTTTGGATCTTCACTGTCCTGATGACAGTGCCACAGCCAGCTCCCAGCATGTTGTTTCATGGGAAAACTCAGGACTTGGAATCCTTAGAGTTGAACTCAGGCTAGATCAGGGGATATAGGCATCTCCATGGTGAGAGATGTTTGCATGTAGTAAAACAGAAACAATACCTGCTGCATGAGTATGAGAAAGTGGGGTGTAGCAGAAAGACCGTGCAGTCAGGCAAATCTGGATTTGAATCCAAGCTCTGTCACTTTTTATGGACTCTGGCAAGTCAGTGCCTCTCTGGAGCCTCAGTTTTCTGGTCTACAGAATGGGAAGACTCTACCTTATAGAATAGTTGTGAGAATTTGAAATGAATATAGATGCCTGTTCCATTTTATATTTTCTCTATTTCCCTTCTTTGCTTATGTGGATTAAAGAGAGGGAGATATCACACTTGAGGCTTGTCAGTGAAGATTCAATCCCACTAATATTTATTGAATACCTTCTGTGTGCTGGTCAGTGCTGTGCTGGGCACTGGCCTACAGACAAGGGATGATCAGTAGGGGCCACAGAGTAAACCAGCTAGATTAGACTTATTTTCTTCCCACCAAGCTTGGTAGCCCACGGGATGTGACAGGCAGTATATTTGAGCTTCAGCTATGCATTTGAAAAGGCAGAGGGATATATGGGATGGATGCTTGTGTATTTAGGTGGAGTCAAAACTGGCTGAAGAGACCCAGGGGGTGACTGATAGAACCTATCCTTGCCCCTGGTCATTCAGTATTTTTATTTATGTGTTGGATGAGAATATGAAGCTGGGAAAAATAGGATCTTGTTTCAAATCGATCTAGAGAAGGTAGAATAAGGGACTGAATAGAATAGATCCGCGCCCAATCTGTATGCCCACCTTAAGAACTTTGAAGTGTTGGAGGTAATAGGGGGAGGGTGCTGGTCGCATGGAGTCTTGTTTGAACAGAGTACCTTTGACTTTGAGTAGGAACGTAAAGGAGATGTTGATGGTGAGAAGCCCTGGGAAGCCAAGATGAAAAGTCTTTAATAAACAGGGGAGACAAACAGCACCCCAGCCTTTGGTGGAGGCTGGATAGGAGGCAGGTGTGTTCCAGAAAGGAAAGCAGCTCACTGTGCTGCAGAGATATCCCTTCTTGGGACCTGAAGGATGGGAGAGTGGGGACTTGAGAATGGCTGGAAGTATAGACCTTCCAGGAAGCTAGAGGATGGCCGCTAGAGGACCCTCAGTTTTCTCTGTTAGAGTCTGGCATAAACACGTAAAGGACACGGCTACACCCTGGACCTAGTAACTCCCTCTCTTGGATGGAAATAGAATGTGCTAATCTGTCCTTGATCCCACACCATTCCCAGGTCCTATCGCTCAGCCTTTCAATGAGGAGCTATGAATATAACCCTTTTTGTCAAACTGGGCCTCAGCTTCATGCAGTGGGATTTCAGCTACATGTGTCTTTTCCTGCTGTCTAGACCCTGCCTCAACTCGGTGGCTCCACTGGATCCTTTTGGATTCCCCTCAGCCCCTTGTCCTTACTGGGCACGGAAATCCCATCAGTCCTGCCTCCCCCTCCCCAACACCAGGTGGCCCACTGTGCACAGGATGTCATTACCTCTTTTCCCTCATCTGGGGCCCCTCTGAGCCATAGCTGCTCTATCTCAAGTGGAGTACAATGCAGGCAGGGCCTACAGGAGCAGCCTCTTTCCCTGCTGGTGTCTCTTTCAGTCTCCTGTGCTGTGGCCGAGAGCCCAGGTCTGGCACACCAGGACCAATCTCAGGCTCCAGGACTGCCCCTCTTCTGGCTGGCTCAGTTCTTGGGACATGGTTTTTACTCTTATCTTCTGATGTTATTCCTTGTCTAGCTTTTCGGTTTTGCTCTGGAGACTGAGCATTGCTTTGAACCCCTTGCTGGCGGCCAGGGCCCTCGCACCTCACCAGATTGCTGCCAGGCCTTCCCTGGAGGTATTCTCTCTTCCTGGCACATGTCATGTCTTAATGTGTACCAATCTCTTGATGCTACTCCTGTTCTACCTGGTCTCTGGGCTGAGCCGCAGCCTAGAAATGCTCTCTGTAGATGAGACTTGCAGACCTTTACCTGCTCTGGTCTTTGTACCTTGTACCTAGAATAGCCTCGTAGTCCAGGAGACCCAGCTCCTGCAGTAATCTCAGTCCCACAGCCAGTCCTCAGGCTCCAGTGACATTGCTTGGTACCCTTACCAGCCATCCCCTTCTACCTAGTGTAGCACTGTAGCCTTGCTTACCCTGTAGGGTAGAAGCCACTGCATCTGGGCACATGGGCTCATCGCAGCCCAGAATGGCTGGGATGTATTGAGAAGGCACTAGTTCTCTTCACTGCGTATTAGGAGAGTACGATCCAGTAAGCTTCCTGTATTGCTCTAAGGCCTCTCATCCTTTCCAAACTAGGCCTTGACTTAGTAGAGAAAATGGCACAGAGTGTGGCCAGTGTGTGTCTAAGAAGAGAAACGAATTCCTCCTGAGCGGGAAGGCTTTGTGGAGGAGGGGCTGCAGCAGAGTCTGCAGGGCTAAGTGTGTAGTGGGCACCCTGACTCACTGTGCCCTTCTTCTCTGGCAGTGACCCGCCATAATCACCTCAAGGACTTCATGCTTGTGGTGTCTATCGTTATTGGTGTGGGCGGCTGCTGGTTTGCTTATATCCAGAACCGTTACTCCAAGGAGCACATGAAGAAGATGATGAAGGATCTGGAGGGCTTACACCGAGCTGAGCAGAGTCTGCATGACCTTCAGGAAAGGTAAGGCCCTGTCCCTTCCCCACGGCCCTGGTGCTGCCATCTCTTGGGAGCCTCCAGTTTCCACCTGCGCTGTGGGCCGTCTGGCTCCTGAGACCCTGCCGACGACGTAGAGGCCCAGGCTGTGTCATCCTTCCAAACCTGCATCAGAGCCTAGGTTCCTGCCATTCCATTCGCACAGGCAAGTATTCCTCCCCAGGGCAGAAGCTTATTTCTATCTTTTCTCCCTCGGAGCTTCAGAGGGAGATGTGTGGAGCTGTCAGAGGTCTTGAGCTTCCCTGGTTGGATGACTAGTTAGGGGTCATTCTATCCTCCGTCCCACCTCTGGACTGCTTCCCTTCCCATAGAAGTAGACATAATTAACTGTTCTTCACTGTTTCCCAAAGAAACCTCACAAATCTGTCTTCCTAATACCTTTCATGCTCTCTTGTACAGCATCTAAATCTCATGAGACTCACTTGTTGTATGACTTTGGGTAAATCCCTTTCCTTTCTAGGACTTATTTCCTCATCAGTAATGTAAAGGCATTGAACTAGGAGAATACCAGGGCCTTCTAGCTCTGATAGTCTGGTATTCTGTTTAAATAAAACATGGCTTAGAAACTATTGTAGAAGATCTAGCTGTGAAGAGAAGGTGCCAGTCAGTCAGCCAACCTAAGTATTGGGTTGGCCAAAGTTTCCCTCGGTTTTTAAAGTAAAAATAAAAGACACATTTTTCATTTTCACCAAGAACTTTATTGAACAGTGTATTCACCGTTTTGTTCCACTACCTTCTGCCATTTTTCAGACAGCTTCGTAGTTCCATCTCCCCAAAACTTTTTATCTTTTTGAGCAAAGAACCGTTCCAGGTGCCTTTTACAGTCTTTCAGGGAATTGAAATTTTTTCCATTAAGAGAATTTTGTAAAGACCGAAATAAATGGAAATCCGAAGGTGCAATATCTGGTGAATACGGCGGGTGAATCAGAACTTCCCAGCCAAGCTGTAACAGTTTTTGCCTGGTCATCAAAGAAACATGCGGTCTTGCGTCATCCCGATCAAAGATTATGCATTTTCTGTTGAATAATTCTAGACGCTTTTCGTCGAGTGCTGCTTTCATTTGGTCTAATTGGGAGCAATACTTGTTGGAATTAATCGTTCGGTTTTCCGGAAAAAGCTCGTAATAGAGGACTCCCTTCCAATCCTACCATATACACAACATCCCCTTCTTTGGATGAAGACCGTTCTTTGGTGTGGTTGGTGGTGGTTCATTTCACTTGCCCCACGATCTCTTCCCTTCCACGTTATTGTACAGTATCTGCTTTTCATCGCCCGTCACAATTTGTTTTACAGACAGAACATTTTCGTTACACTTAAGTAGAGAACCGCATGTGGAAATACGGTCAAGAAGGTTTTTTTGCTTAACTTATGTGAAACGCAAACATCAAAGCGATTCACATAACCAAGCTGGTGCAAATGATTTCCTACGTTTGATTTGGATATTTTGAGTATGTTGGCTATCTCCCGCGTGGTATAATGTTGATTATTCTCAATTAATGTCTTGATTTTATTGCTATCAACTTCAACTGGCCTACCTGACCGTGGAGCATCATCCAGCAAGCACGAAACTTCACAAACCACTTTTGACATATTCAATCAGTCACAGCACCTTCTCCATACACTGCACAAGTCTTTTTCTGCGTTTCATTTGTGTTTTTATCTTTCTTGAAATAATAAAGCCTAATAAGCTGAAAAATGTTGTTTTTTTCTTCCATCTTCAATATTAAAATGGCTACACAAAAATTCACCAGTTTTTTTTTTTTTTTTGCGGTACGCGGGCCTCTCACTGTTGTGGCCTCTCCCGTTGCGGAGCACAGGCTCCGGACGCGCAGGCTCAGCAGCCATGGCTCACGGTCCCAGCCACTCCATGGCATGTGGGATCTTCCTGGACCGGGGCATGAACCCGTGTCCCCTGCATCGGCAGGCGGACTCTCAACCACTGCGCCACCAGAGAAGCCCCCAAAATTCACCAATTTTGATAAGTTTTTTTTTTAAATGCATGCTGATATGACAGCTGTCACAATACAATGTAACAAAATTGTTTCCAATGAAGTTAAAGACAACTAAGCGCTACTGGAACCATCTTACAGAGAAAAACCAAACGAACTTTTTGGCCAACCCAACACTTCCTGAAGTCTAGGAATCAGGTCTGTGCAGGGAATTGTAAGGAAGTCACTGCTCCTGGGGCCACAAAGCTCACACTTAAGAAGGAGCAGTGACTCAGTGCCAGCTTATGGGACGAGAGCTTCAAGGACTGGAAGGGCACAGAGGTAGGAGATGAGTGGATGTGGAGTCTGAGGAGGTGGCCTTGAAAGACGGGTAGGAAAGATGTAACCTGGTAGTTCTGGTTGAATGTATAGAGTGAGGCCAGATCCCTGGCACCTACAGACTCACATGGAGAAATTTAGCAGGATGCAAAAGGCAATAGAGAGTCAATGTAGGTATTTGGCTTTTTTGCTTTGTTTTGGTTTTGAGAAAAGGAGAAGCCTACTTCAGGACTGTCTTTTAGAAAATTATTCCAACAGCCTAGGGGCTCCAGTTGGAAAGTCTTTGCAGGAATCCATGTAAAAAGGAATGAAGAAGTCTGGCTCTTTTCTGTTATTTTAAAATGATAGATATAATTTTCTTTGGAGGGATGGGGAAAGGATTTCTTAAGAGCTAGGTATTGTTAAGTACTTAAATGTATTATTGTTTTTAATCACCACAACCCTGTTAGGTAGGTATTGTTATCCCAATTTTCAAGTTGAAGAAATGAAGCCTCAGAGAGGGTGAGTGTCAGTAAGTAGTAAGCTAGGAATTTCGACACCCACAGGGTGCTGCCTCAATAAAGGCAGCCTTAGCAGGTTCATTTCCATGGGCTGGACTTTTAGGAGGCAAGAGGAGTTTTATCTTTGAGCCGATTCCTGGCTACTTTGCTGGACCCCCTTGTTCCTGGGCCCTTTTCCAAACGGGGGCTAAATGCTGCTATGTGGGCAGTCCCCGTTCTTCATTTGTCTGAAAAACATGTACTGTTTTCATTCCAAAGGCAAAGAATCTAGGCAGGAGACATTCCAAGTTTGGGGATAAAACTAAGCTCCCAGCCCTCCCTGCTCCGCACGGCCTCCAGAGCTAAATGACCACTGTGGCACTTGGAGAAACAAATGCACACACTCCCCAAAGACAGGCTTGCACCTGTGCACACACATATCCTCCTCTGACAGTGTCCAGAGCCCATGTGCCTCCTTGTCCCTCCTCACTTTGGCAGGCCTACACTGTCAGCCACCAAAGAGCTTTTTTACAGAGTTCCTGATATTTTGGGTGAATAAATGTAATGCTACATGTGCATTCCAGTTAGGATTTCATTGGGTTTCAAGATAATTCTTTGAGGCAGGCAGGAATTTTGATTCCCATTTACAAAGGAGGAAACAGGCCTAGTCCAGGGAACAGACTTGTCCATAGTCATACAGCTGCTTAGAGCCAGGGCTTGCAGTCAGGCTGCCTGATTTTCTTGCTTGTAATGGTAACTGATTGCTGCCTTCAGGATGCTCAGTCTTCTGTGGAGGAGATGTAGTGAGACAAGGCTTGATTGTATATTTATTTTCTCATTTCTGTACCCAGTGGTATTTATTGATCTTCATCTCTATTAGATCCTGTTAGGGTTATGAAAGTGGGTCAGTTTTGATTCTACTTTAAAAGGAGCTCCCTATTGTATGGAGAAGACAGGCATATCACAGGCTTTTCAGAAGAGGCTGCTTCCGGAGAGGATAATATTTCAGTGAAGAATCGAATCCCTAGTGGTGTAATTTCAAGCAGTGGGGTCATGGAAGAATACAATAAAGGAGGACATTCAGCAAGGGGAAGGGGATGGGGCTGGAAATGGCGCCTCTGATTTGTTTTTAGCTGTGCATGTAGCGCCACCTGCTGTATACCTTAAGGAGGTTCAACTCCCTTTCGCTCCAGGAACAAAGTAGATAGAAGGCTGCAGTTTGTCAGCAGGAAGCTTGCAGCCTAGACATTTTTCCTCTTCCCTCCTTACTTGTCACCACATCTTTTGAGGCTTCAGTCACTGACACATCTGGACTTGGGATTATTTAGAGGCTGGGTTCTGTTTCTGCCTCTTCTGTTTCACCTTCTTAATTAACTCAGTGGTCAGTGCTCTTCTCTGTGGGCCCTACTTGTTCTGTAGCCTATCCTTCCTCTTCCGTACCTCAAGTCTAAAGCCATATATCACTTGTCTTCTTCCTCATCCTTTCCCCCTCTTATCCTGGTTCCCCGGTAACTTGGTGGTTCCTACTAAGATCGGAAGACCTGACAGTGGCTAAGTCCTTTCCCTCTTCCAGAGGGACTAGCCAACTGTTACTCTTTCTTCTGGGTCTAGTCCCAGGCCTCACCTTCCCTGACTCCTTTCAAGCAGAGTTGATCACCCCATCCCTGGGGCCTACCCAACACCTTGTATATCTCTGTATCATAGAACTTATCACACTGTGTGTACCTATCTGTTTACTTGTTTATATTGGACTAGATTATGAGTACCTCAGCAGCAGAGACAGTTTTCTCACTCATTTCAATATATCTAGGGCTCAGCACAGGGCTTGGCATTTAGTAGATGCCTTAAAGTACTTGGTGACTGAATGGATGGATGAATGAATGAACATAGATATATGGCAGAAAGAAGGGAGGAAGGAAGGAAGCTTGTTGGATGGATGAAAGGTTTTGTCAGTAAACAGAGGGAATGTGTGGGTGGGTACAAGGGCATATTTTCATTATAACTGATGCCCTTGAGATCTTACCCACCATGGAATATACTTAGGAAGGGAACTCAGGGCTGGGGGCAGCAGGGGCTCTCCCAAATCCTGTCCAGCCCCTTTGGCATAAATTTCATTTTTCGGTGCTTCTGGGAACAGGTACTCAGGAGTCCAAGAGGTACAGCTCAATAGTTCCTCTCTCATCTTCCTTAAATCCCCCCACTACCACCACCCCTGTCACATCTCACCATCAGGCTTTCTCTGGGTCTTTGGTCTAGCTTGCAGGGTGTTCTACATTTATTGCACCTTCCAGATACCTTGGTATAAGGGTAGTAACTGTGGGATTTGAAGACATACAGATTGGAATTCTAGTCCCAGTTCTACATGCAGTTAATTCCCGTCTCTAAGCCTTCATGTCCGTATCTGTCCCAGGCTTATAATGATACAGTATATCATTATCTGCAGGGAGAACAAATGCGAAATACCTTGTAAATTAGTAGTTGTTACGATCTGAGTATGTGAGACACCTTAGAAGGAAGGATTCAGGTACCCAGGAACCTAGCTTCACAGCCTTTATTACTGGCAGCAGATTGATGGCCCACGTAAGAATTATGGTAGTGACCGTGGTTTCTGTTGGCCCTGAGCTACCTCAGAGCCAGGCAGGCAGCAGAGTAGGGAGAATATGTTCAGAGTGCTGGAGCCCTCATTTTCCTCTTGGATGCCATCCATGCCTCCTGGCGTGTTGGCTGGCGCCCGCTTGCCTGGCCTTCTCCAGCTCCCCGCATCGCCCCCCAGGCTGCACAAAGCCCAGGAGGAGCACCGCACAGTGGAAGTGGAGAAGGTACACCTGGAAAAGAAGCTGCGTGATGAGATCAGCCTTGCCAAGCAGGAAGCCCAGCGGCTGAAGGAGCTGCGGGAGGGTACTGAGAATGAACGGAGCCGCCAAAAATATGCTGAGGAGGAGTTGGAGCAGGTAGGGGAAATCTGCGAATTCTTGGACACCCCGAGGGGGTGGGGTAAAAGGGCAGGGGCCAAAGGCCTGGCTAAGAGTAGTGGGAAAGTTGCAAAAAATGGTCACTGCGGTTGTCAAAGAACAGTGAATAACGGGTGGTAACAGTTATTTTGTTCCTTTTTAATTGAGGTATTTACATAAAGTATACAAATCATAAGTATACAGCTGGCACACTTTTACATATGCATGTACTTGTGTAACCACCATCCAGATCAAGATACAGACTCTCTTAAGCACTCAGAAGGCTCGCTTTTGCCTCCCCTTTCTCCCCGTCAATATTCCACCCAAAAGGTAACTACAGTTTTAATCTCTAAACCAGATTAGTTTCACGTGCTTTTGAACGTCATCTGAATAGCATTATACAGTATGTATTCTTTTGTGTTTGGTTTCTTTCACTCAACATTGTGTCTGTGAGAGTCATCCATGTTTCATGTAGTGATAACTGATTTATTTCCATTGCTGAGTATTAATCCATTGTATGAATATACTGTAAATTATTTATCCATTCTCCTGTTGATAGACTTTTGGGTTGTTTGCAGACTTTTTTTTTTTGCAGTTTATCAATAACATTGTTTATGAACCTCCTTGGTGGGCATCACTTATTTCTGTTGGATATGCAGTAGGGCATTTATATATTTAACTTTATCAGAAACTGACAATTTTCCAAAATGGTTGTACCAATCTATACTGCCACCAGCAATAGTGTGAGAGTTCTAGTTGAGCTACAACCTTGGTATTTTTAGGCATTTTCATTTTATACATTCTGATATGGATGTAATGGTATCTCATTGTGATTTTAATTTTAATTTTCTTATTGACCAATAATATTGAATACCTTTCCATAAGTTTATTGACCACTTTATTTGGGAATCTCTTCTAATTTAAAAAATTGGGTTGTATTTTTTCTTAATTGATTTGTAAGAGTTTTAAAATATATTCTGGATGTAAGTCTTCTTGTCTATATATATACATACATATTGCAAATATTTTCTCCCAGACTGTGGCTTGCTTTTTTGCTCTCTTAATATTGTCTTTTAATGAACAGACGTTCTTGACTTTAATGAAGACCAATTACTCAATCTTTTTTTTTTTTTAAATGGTTGATGCTTTTTGTGGCCTGCTTAAGAAATCTTTCCCTAACTCCAAGATATTTTCCTCTAGAAGCTTTATTGTTTTACTTTTCACATTTAGGGATATGGCTTATTTCAAACTAATTTTTGTGTATAAGATGAGATAGGAGATCAAGGTTTTTTCCCAGGTAGATATGCTGTTCTGTGGTCTATATGTCTATCCTTATCCCACATTGTCTTACAACAAGTCTTGATATCTGGCAGTGTTAGGTTCTCCAGCTTTGTCCTCCTGCCAGATGGCCTTGGCTATTCTAGGTTCTTTGCCTTTCCATGTTGGCTTGTCATTCCGTTACAGTGTGCTCTGCTGGGATTGTTATTTGTTTTTACATTGAATCTATAGATTAATGTGGGGGAAAACTGACACTTTAACCAAATAATTATTCTAATTCATGAGCATTGGTTATCCTGTCACCTATTTAGGTCTCTAAAAATTTCTCTCAACAATGTTTTGTAGTTTTCAGTGTAGAAGTCTTGCACTTAAATTTTTTTTTAACTTGTTCTTATTTTTCTAGCTGCTTGAGATGGAAGAATAGGTTATAGATTTTAAACCTTTAATCTTTTCTAATACATGCATTTAGAGCTATAAATTCCCATTTCAGCACTACTTTAGCTGCATTTACTAAGTTTTGATATTTCATATTTTCATTATCATTCACTTCAAAATATTTTCTAATTTCCATTGTGATTTCTTATTTGGCCTGTGGTTATTTAGAAGTGTGTTGCCTAATTTTCAAACACTTGGATACTTTCCTATTTATCTTTCTCATTGATTTCCAGTTTAATTTTGCTGTGGTCAAATAGTGTGTGCCATAGGGTTTTAGTCCTTTCACATGTGCTGAGACTTGGTTGATGTAAACAGACTACACAAAACGATTGAAAGGCAAAGTGTCAGACTGGATAAAAAACAAAACCCAACTATATGCTGTTTACAAGAGGCAAGCGTTAGAAATAAGGATACAAGATGGTTAAAAGTAAAAGGATGAGAACACTAGGATAAGCACTAAGCAAAATAAAGCAGCTGCAGCTATATTAATATCAGACAAAGTAGACTTTAGAGAAAGAAGTATTACTAGAGACAAAAATGGACATTTCACTTATGATATGTGTGAATTAAACAGTAATATCTAACAACCCTTAATTTGGTACACCTAATAATATAGTTAAAATACATATGTAAAGCAAAAGTTAAGAAAACTAAAAGGACAAATTCATAATCAAAGTTAGAGATTTGAGCATCTATCTCTCAGTAATAAGCAGCCAAAAATATCAGTAAGGATATAAAAAATTTAAACATCCATCAATTTCACCTCATTGATGTATATACAGCATTTTACCCAACAACTGCAGAATACACATTCTCTGTAGTGTGTATTATGCTTAGTTCTGTTCTTCATTTCTCTCTGTGCTTTGGTTTGGTTATTTTATATTGACCTGTCTTTGAGTTCCCTAATCCTGTGTTCTGCCGAGAACTGTGCTATTTAGCCCATCCAGTGGAATCCTACTCTCGGATAATGTATTTTTCTAGAATGCCCTTTCATAGGGCATTTTCTAGAATGCTCTTTTTTTTTTTTTTTTTTTTTATGGGGGGGTCTCTCTGTTGTTTTCTCTCCCTTTGTGGAGCACAGGCTCCGGACGAGCAGGCTCAGCGGCCATGGCTCACGGGCCCAGCCGCTCCACGGCATGTGGGATCTTCCCGGACCGGGGCACGAACCCGCGTCCCCTGCATTGGCAGGCGGACTCTCAACCACTGTGCCACCAGGGAAGCCCTAGAATGCTCTTTTATAGGTTCTCATTCCCTGTCCAGAGTCTCCATGTTTTCATGTTTCCTGTCCATCTTTTCCCATATTTTCTTTAACATTTCAATCATAGTTGTTTTAAAGTCCTTGACTGGTAACTCTTAACATCTGGATCATTTATGGGACTGCTTATTTTTTCTCTTGATTATTGCTTATATTTTCCTGCCTCTTCTCATGTCTAGTAATTTATTTTTATTAAATGCTGGACAGTGTGCATAAAAAATAATAGAGGCTGTAGGTGATTTTTAATCTTCCATCAGATATAGGGTTCTGTTAGGTATGTTGGGTGAGGCTCTGATTACCTCAAGCCAATGAGAGACTGACATATGTTGGAACTGGGTTGTAGTTTAATAAGACTTGGTCTAAGGCGCATTTGTCCCAGTTTCTCAGGTATGCCCCTTCCTGACTTGTTATTCAGATCTGGTGGATTTCTTTCTCCTCAGCCCTGAAAGGCTATGAGAGATTCATTTCTGCCCCTTGGAGGTTTTTTTTTTGCGGTACGTGGGCCTCTCACTGTTGTGGCCTCTCCCGTTGCGGAGCACAGGCTCCAGACGTGCAGGCTCAGCGGCCATGGCTCACGGGACCAGCCGCTCCACGGCATGTGGGATCTTCCCGGACCGGGGCACGAACCCGTGTCCCCTGCATCGGCAGGCGGACTCTCAACCACTGCGCCACCAGGGAAGCCCTCCTTGGAGGTTTTTAAGTTAGCGCTTTGTCCTCCTGCTCCTCATAGCTTCAAAGTTTTGCAGCCACATCAAACTGCTTTTAATGTAGAACTTGATCCTACACTTCCAGACTCGGTGTATCAGCCTCTAAGGTATCTGTTCCTCATTTTAAATCTATAAAGCCAGGAGTGGGCCATTTTATAGTTTCCTTTTCAAGGAGCAAAAACCAATTGATGCTTCATCTTGTCATTGGCTTTCAGAGGAATGAAGGTGTTCTGTCCTTAGCTAAGGCCCTCCTGGTCTATATTAGGCTCAGGGGAGGACCTCAGGCCTGCTATGGGATACATCCCCAGTGGCTGAAGTTGGGCATGAGACTGCTCTCAATCTCTTTTCTCTGGGATTCTGACCAGCTAAAAGTCAGTGTTCAGATGGGGGAGTTGGGGATCATTTATACTGGTAGGCTGGGTGAGATAGAAGGAATTCAGTGAATATAATGGATTCTGTATATACTCTCAGATTCATGCTTAAGTGCTTTGTGACCATCTGCTTCATTTTATGCTCCTTGCTGAGAAGTCAGTGAGGAGATGTCTGCTTACACATTGGTCCTTCCATATCTTGGCCTCTGTTGGCAGTGCCCATGTTAGGTATAAGCTTGCTTGTTGTTTTCTTGCCTTGTAGAGAGTGCCCATTACAGCCTACCCACCCATCTCAATGGGAGAATCACAGATAAAGTCTCTGGGCTGGAGGAGACTTTGGAGAGTATTCAGGCCAATCCCCTTCTGGATCAGCAATCATTTTGAAGGTCTTTCAGACATGAGCTCTTTACATACCTCTCATGACGGGGAGCTCACGCTCTCCTGAGATCACCCCTTCGCTTACAGTTTGGATTTGCATGGGAGAAAGCCTTACACTGATTGAGGTCTGCTTTAGGAAACACATGGTCACACAGCCAGTTGAGTGACAGACCAGGGACCAGATCATATTTCCAGACTCCCAACCAAATGCTTTTCCTGCCACATTGTGCTGTCTTGAGTCCAGGAACAGACCCAACTGTCAGAAAGAAGAGGATTTATTGAGATAACCTGTACCTTATGAGAGCAGGGAAGATTGCTGAGATTGGCTATATGATGAGGAGAGGCAACCAGTATGTGAGAATAGATTGCTGTACTCTGGCAGCAAAAATAAATAAATAAATAAATAAATCTCCATTTGAGTTCTGGTTGACACTACTGACTGTGTGACCTTGAGGAGGTTACTTTCCTTCTCCAAGCTTGGTTTCTTGTATGTAAAATACAGAGAATAATCCTTGCCCCTTCTCCCTCTTGGGAGAGTTGTGAAGCTTAGGTGAGATAGAAGAAAAGAACTCTGAAGTATCATACAGAGGCATTGGAGAGGGTCTTGGTAGTAGTAAGGACTCACGTCCTCTTGGCTACACAGGTCCGGGAGGCCTTGAGGAAAGCAGAGAAGGAGCTGGAATCACATAGCTCATGGTATGCTCCAGAGGCCCTTCAGAAGTGGCTGCAGCTGACACACGAGGTGGAGGTACAGTACTACAACATCAAGAAGCAAAATGCCGAGAAGCAGCTGCTGGTGGCCAAGGAGGGGGTGAGACCCGCCTTCCTGCTGCCCTCTTCTCTCCCCCCGCCCTCCTTTCACCTGCCTTTCTTCCTCCTCTCTGCCTCTCTATATCCCTCCTGTTGGACACAGAGACATCCTGGTGTTGGGTTTTGTTTCTTTTCCTGATAATACAGTTTCTAATAATGTCTTCAGGCTTCTGGAGGAGGGAATGAGGGTGTGGGGCTACTCCCACCTGCCTTTTGGGAAAGATGAAGCAAGTGGAGGCAGGTAGAGGGAAGTCTCTGCTGGCCCCAGACTGACATGGGGACAGAATCCTCCTGGGGCCAGGATCCCTTTGCTTGTCTCATTGCCTCTATTTTCTTTCTTCCCCTACGCTTTTCTCTCCTGTTGCCTTCTGTTTTCCTTTCCCTTCTTGTCTTCCTTCTTCTTGTGCAGCCTAAGCTGTGCTAGGAGGAGGGGGAACCAGTCACAGAATAGCATTTCTCATTTCTCCAGCCTCTATCCCTGATCTTTTTAAGCTGAGGGCCTCATCTTTGCAGGCTGAGAAGATAAAAAAGAAGAGAAACACACTCTTTGGCACCTTCCACGTGGCCCACAGTTCTTCCCTGGATGATGTGGATCACAAAATCTTAACAGCTAAGTAAGTAGCACCTGTTGCCCAGCTCTGGCGATGTCCATCCCATCCTCAGAGTTGGAGGTTGTCCAGGGCCTCCAGCCCTAACTCTGCTTCTTCACTGGTAGAGGTACAGCTCTGGTCTCGTGCCGCAGCCCTTGGCTATTTCCCACCTTGCTCTTAAGTTTATGATTTAATTGTGTTTCTTATTTACACATATCCCCCCAACTTGCTCCTCTGAGAAGAAGCCTCACTTCTGTTGGGGCTCACACCCATGCCTGCCATTTCCTTTCATCCCTCTTCAGGCAAGCTCTGAGCGAGGTGACAGCAGCACTGCGGGAACGCCTGCACCGCTGGCAACAGATTGAGATCCTCTGTGGCTTCCAGATTGTCAATAACCCTGGTGTCCACTCACTGGTGGCTGCCCTCAACATAGATCCCAGCTGGATGGGTAGTACGCGCCCCAACCCTGCCCACTTCATCATGACTGACGATGTGGATGACATGGATGAGGAGATTGTGTCACCCTTGTCCATGCAGTGTAGGTGACCTCTTGGGTGGGGAAGAGGGAAGGAGCCTTTGATGTGCAGATTGAGAAGTTGGCCTCTGCTGTGCTTAAGCAACATATGGGGCAGAAACCAAGATGGTTTAACTCATGACCTTGGTTAATAAAGCATAATCCGCATCAAGATGCCCCTTTATAATTGTCCTTTTGGTGGTTTTCCCTTGCTATATATTCTGTTTACCCTATGGGTCTGTTGTGTTAAGTGTGTCTCCCTTCACTCTTTGTGTTTTTTTTAATCCCTTTATTCTCCTTCCCCCCTCCTATCTATCTTTATAAAAATAATCTCCTTTAGTGGTTCATAATATAAAAATGGCATTCATTTTGACTACTTATTGCTTTAATTGGTTTTAATTTTATATTCCTTACTTTTAATTGCTAAAGTAGTTGAATGGAATGATGTCTCTTTCTTTTTGTTTTTTCGCGTGAGGCCCCAGGAAGCAATAGTCCCTTACAGTAAAAGAGCCCTAAATCCTCCAAGCCAGAAAGACATTCTTGTCCAGGAGGGATCTCCTGCACAAGCATGTCTGTCTTTCCACCTGAACTCTTGGCCATCCCCACCCTCTGTCCTGGGTCTTCCCTCTTCCTTTTCTCCCCTGCGCGTGGTAAGAGCTGAGTAGAGCAGAATTGAAGGAGACAGCACTCTGTGGGAATTCTTCAGTGAAGGAAGGGACATACCCCTTACTGACCCTGTTGAATTTTTCTCTGGATCAGAGGCTATTTTAGATAAATAGGATAGACTTTTATGGAAAAGCTCTTGTGCTGGGCCCATATCCCATGAGTGCAGAGGGGATGGCAGAAAGCTGGGCTGGGTTAGGGGCTCACTTTCAGAAAGTCAGATTCTTTAATCAGGCTGGATTCCAGCTCCAGACAGGATTTATTTGTAAGTTTCTTCAACGGTAGTTTGCCTCTGGGCAAGCCTCTTCTTTCCCTGGGCTGTTAACTTGGCAGGGCTTTAGTCAGAGGCCCAGCAAGGTTAGGATCCCTAGCAGGTAGAGCTTGATCTTGATGTATTGATCTAAAGGCTCCCATGTTCTCCGGGTTGGGAGGGACCTTCATTAGCTCTGAGCCACCCACCCCTTGCCCCCTGGCCCTTCCCTTATCCCATTGAGGGGCAGGGTGAAGCCCTCTGTAAATCAGATTCTCTTCTCCTTTTGGCCTGGCTGTTGGACCCTAGATGCTGCCTGGCTGATGGGGCGTAGGTTCAGTGACCGCTCTCTCTGCTCAGCATCCGCCGGCTCGGATGATCAGTCCCTCTGGAAATACCCGGGTTTGAGGAGCCCCTTTGGGGCTTTTGTTTTTCCAACTTTTGGGGCTAAACCAACACTCCTATCCCACGGGCCCCTTCTCCTGCCTGCACCCCTCCCCTGCCTGCTCTGCTATTCCCTCACCACGGTCCCTACTAACTTCAGGGAAGGGTTCGGTGGTGAGAAGAATCAGCCTGCTCAGCTGAGTGCTTGAGAGAGAACAGCCATGGTGATGGGAGGCTTAGGCTTCTCCTTTCAGCCCAGCTAGACAGATGTCCTGGCGGCCCTTCATCTAGCTGGGCTGAGATGAAAGAGGGAAGGAAAGATCCTCTTCCTCTTTTCTCCTTCTGTTTTCCCCTTCTGTCTCTCTTTCCCCATCCCTATTCCATGCCTCCTCTTCCCCTTAAGCCTCCCTTTCATGTCTCGAAAGCCACCAGCCATAGAAGCCCTGGCTCACTAGCTCTCCATCACCATGGAACTGTGCTCTCTTCCTGGTGGCCCTTCCAAGGCTTCTGCCATCCATGTAACGGTGTCCTTTCTCCCATCTTTAGGGAGAAGGCAAGGAGGCCCATATATCAGGGTAGAGGAGGAAAAAACAAAGGTGTGAATTCTGTTTTCAACTGGAACTGGAGAGGGATGTTCTAGCACATCTCTAAGTTATCTGGTACCCACATACCCCTTCTCTGGGCATGGTGGCCCTCATCTTCCAAGAGCCTGATCTGCAGCATTGATCCAAGAGCTGGTTCTTTGTTGGGTACATGCTTATTAGAAGAAATTTGGATAGTAAAAAGAGTAAATATGGGCATAAAAAGGTACCTGTAATCCCATCATATTGAGTACCTTCTCTTTCAGTCTTTTGTCTGTGAATTTTTAAATAATTTTTTATGTGGTCAAGATAATGATAACCACTACCATTTATTGAGTGCCATGAACTGTGTCAGGTACTTTAAAAATATTATCTTGAAGCCTCAGGACAACCCTGAAGGATTTTGTAAATTAGGAATTAAAATAGGGAAGTAAGTTACTCAAGGTCACAGCTAGAAACAGAAAGGCCTTGTTTCAAATTCCTGTCTTTTTTATTCTATAGCTCAAGGTATTCCTTTTACATGAAATTTGGTATCCTTTTGTTTTTCCTGAGCATTTTAATAGACATTTTTCTGTGTTTTAAAAATTTTCTCATAAGCAGCTTTTTTTTTTTTTTTTGGCTGCGCAGTGCGGCTTGCAGAATCTTAGTTTCCCAACCAGGGATTGAACCCAGGGCCTGGCAGTGAAAGCGCTGAGTCCTAACCACTGGACCGCCAGGGAATTCCCATAAGCATCATGTTTAATAGCTGTGTAACCTTCCAGCAGTTGGATGTGTTATCATCTTCCTGTTGTTCCACCTTTATTTTTACTTTCATACAATTATTAATAATGATGTGATGAGCATGTTTGTGTATAAATCCTTGTCTGAGTTGTGAATTATTTCCTGAGTTTGGCTTTCTAAAAAGGCTGGTTCTTAGTGCCCTCCCGGACCTTGTCCCAAACCCCCATCCTACCCCATCCTGCCTGTGCCCTCCCACTAGCTGCCTTACCGTCTCCCTTCATAGTAATGTTGGCCCTAGGTCTGCTTCCATTGGAATTGCCATTAAAACTGACCTGGGTACCTCATCTTCAGCTTCCCCTTCCTTTTAGGACCCCTGGTGGGAGGTTTCGGGGAGGAGGCGCCCCATTCTCCAGATTGGCCACTGAAGGCCCAGAGTGGTCTCCAGTAAGCATTTCTCCATGGGCAAACCTGCTTCCCACCAGCCCAAAGTAGGCTGGCCCTTCCTCACACTTTCTTCACTCTCCTTGCAGCCCCCAGCCTGCAGAGCAGCAGCGTCCGGCAGCGCCTGACGGAACCACAGCATGGCCTGGGATCTCAGAGGTTGGTAGAGGGCGAGGCTGGCCGCTTCTTGACAAGCCGGGTCTCTCTGCGGCGAATGCGCAGCCTTTCATCTGGACAGTCTTTCAGTTCTGAAGGCCTCGGGACCAGCGCTCCATCTGCCTCTGCTTCTTCTTCCTGCTCCTCTACCACCACCACCACTGCCACCACCTCCAGCACCATCACCACCACCACCACCTCCATCACCACCGTCCACATCCACCCTGTTTATTACCACCACAGCACTTCCTATTTCCTCCAGATGGAGCCCTACCCTGACCCACCCCCTTCTGACAGCACCGCTGTGATGCCTTGGCATTCAGAGACCTTGGGGTACCAGCTGTCTCTCTTCTCTTTCCTTTCTCCCTTCCTTGCCCCTCTGCTGCCTTTACCTCGGCCTTTGCCTGCTGGCTGCTGCTTGGTCAGCTGTGGGGAGTGTGTGTGCGGTGGGGCACTTCTCCTTGTCCTATCCTTTCCCAGCCTGCGAATCCTCCTTAAGGTCAGCCTAACTCCCTAAGGCTTTCTTCCCTTCTCTGTTTGGGGTTTGCTGACTCTAAAAATGAGTAACAACCCCGCTCCCTCACGGTCCTATAGCACCTTGGCCTAAACTTTCACATCTGTTATCTCAATGGAGTCCTCACTTCCTTCACTCCCTCAACGAACATTTATTGATACCTACTCTGCCAGGCTCTGCTGGGCATGGGGATTCGTAGATGATAAGATACAATCCCAGCCATCAAGAATTGCAGTCTGGTCTGGGAGAGGTACATAAATGATTCTGGAACAGTTTGATAAGTGCTAAGGGGGTGTTGAAGAAGGAATGGCTAACAGTGTGAACCCGGGTGGAATGCTTCACAAGAGAGATGACATTTGTGCTGGCACCCTGTGTGCAGGCAAAGGAGAAAGTGTATTCTAGGCAGAGGAAACACATGCACAGGCATAGAGTTTCAAGAGAATCTGATCTACGTGTGGTTAGAACATTGGCTATGTGTTGGTGGGAAGGGGTAGCGGATGAGGCTAGAATGATGAGGGGTTCTGAAAGGACACGGGCTTTGGCCATTACCCTTTAGGAGACGGAGAACTGCAAAGGGGTTTTTAGAAGAAAGTGAATTGGTCATATTTGCATTTTAGAAATAACATTTTAGTGGCCTGTATAAAGGAAACAATGGGGAGACCACAGGAATTTGGAAGTCATTGCAGTAGGCCATCAGGGGAGGTAACAAGGTCTTGGTATAGAAACAAGAGGATTAATTTGGTAACTGGCTTTGAGGGGTGGAGGAGAGGAAGGAGTGTAGGATGATGCCCAGGTTTCTAGCTTGGGTGACTGAATGGATGTAGTACCCTTCATGGAATTACTCTTCAGAAGGGGGCGGAAACAGATTTAGGGGTTTTGGACAAGCGAGGTTTATAGGTCGGGCCGGCATTAAAAACACTCACATCTGAGAAGGAAGTTAAGGTTCTGAAAGGTTAAGTAATTTTCCCCAGGTCCCAAAGCTAATTAGGAGCAGAACACAGACTAGGACTTGGCTTTCCATTCCAGGACACTCTGTCGGATATTTTTGTCCTTTCACAAGGTCTCAGTAAGTGAACTGTATCAGAACTGGTGAAAGGCTTTCTCCCACAGCCTGGTGTGGCAGCTGCAGGGACTTTCCCTGCTAATAGCTCAAGGTGATAGGCTAGGGTCAGATATAGTAGCCTTGACCTCACCTGAACAAGCTTAGAGAACCCTCAGGAAGTCCCTCTCCTCTGGAAGGGCCTCTCATCTCTGAAGCTGTGGCCACGGCTCAATCCTGGCCTCTGGGTTGCAGCCGCCTTACCCTGTTGCTTCCTTTTGGTCCTGCCTCACCCTGGATGCCAATCTCTCTAGCTCTGCCCCTCGAACCTCTGGATAATTATCCTTGAAGGCTGTTCCTTTCTCTTTCACAAAAGGACAGACTTTACTAGAAGCAGAGCTACTCATCTTCATCCTCACCCTCATCTTCATCTAAAAGCCTAGGCAGGGAGACTGCCCTTCTCAGTACAGATGGAGAGGACTGAAGTGGGTTGGGGGCACTAGAGGATGCTGTGAATCTCATGCTCCAAGGCCCAGGCTGAGGGCAGTGGGGAGGGAGGGTGGGGAAGTACATGCCTCTGCCTGGCCTGTTCACTACTGAATTTTCTTTTGCACCATGCACCAGAGGATCATCTGTAAAGGCAAACAGGCTCTCTAGTAAGGTTAGTAGCTTGGGGTGGGAGCCCAAGGCAGCCCAGCCTTTGGGGAGGGACACCCCTGACCTGAATTGTCTCAGAAAGACTCAGGGAGGGAAGGTGAGCTTGCCTCAATGGGCCTTTCCCCTCCTATATCCACCCAGGCTTCCTCCCACGTTCTTTTCTTGCTTTGGAAGCCTCAGCTTTCATTGATGATGGAGGCACAGAGGGATGGGAATCATGACCAAATGGGGCAATGGGGCAGTGGGCCAGGAGGAGTGAGTCTGGGTAGACCCCAACCTCTTGACCTCTCGTCCTTCCTTGGTATTAGAAAGGTGGGCTCCTAGGATCCTCACCTCCTCGGCCTAGAGGGCCCCTCATCCTGGTGTGGCTGCCCCCCAGAATTTCCTTGGCACCATGCTCAGTGGCTCACACCTGTGTGGAAAAGGCAGGATACGGAGAGGGTCATCTTGGGACTTAGAGAAACAAGGACACATTTAGATAGAAGCAAGGACACCATCAGAAATATGAAAGCAAATATGAGACCATTCATAAACACTAGAGTACGTGGCTGAAACAGTATTTGGAATGGGAGTTGGAGCTGGGATTGTTCTCTGCTATCCCCTGTCTTCAGCAAGGTACTGGCCCACAGCGTGGCTGCTTAAGTTAATTGTTTTCCTGCTGAGAATTAAACCTATAATAACTATTAGTCAACCTCCTGCTTTTGCCTGTTTTTGGAGCCTGGTGCCCTCCCTAAGTTTTCCACCCACAGCCTCCTTCTTTCCGGGTCCTGCTGTGCTCTCCTCTCCCACTCATGACCCTTTCCCTTTGGTTTCCTGACTTGGATGTTTAAACATTTCCCTTAGCCCTCTCCTCTGCCTCTGCCATGGGTTCTCAGGCCTCTGGGAAAGGAGAAGGAGGGTTACGGGATTGGCAGGGGACTCCCATATCTACGCTCTTGTCTATAGAGGCAGGAGGTGTGGCATCCAGAATTAGTTCGTGGTCTTCTTAGGAACAGCCAGCCCCTTAAAGGGTCTCGACTATCCTGGACTGCCTCTGTGTGTGCATGTCCAGTGTGCAGTGCCGTGTCCCCGTAGCTCAGCCTTGCAAAGAAACCTCTTGTGACTGGCCCACGGAAGGGTCTTCCTGCTTGACTGGCCTCATCATCTTCATTCCCACAATACTTTCTACATTTTCAAGTGCTTTGCCAACATATTTGGGCCTCCAAACAGTCTTGCGAGATAATTGAATTGGTGTTATCTTCATTTGGCCAAAATTGAGGACCAGCAAGGTTAGATGACTTGTCCAAGGTCATACAGCAAGCCTCAGGCAGAGATGGAAATTGAATTAGACCTTAGGACTTCCAGCGTGCAGCTCTTCTGAACCACTGCTCCTTAAAGGCCAATGTCCTGTCTTTCTATGCCTCCCTACGTTCTCCCCGTCTGCAGAGCTCTGAAAAAGACCCCAGCCTTCCTGCTGTCAGCCAGCTTTGGTTTGAATGCTGAAACACTTCTCTGTGACCTCCTTTGAATCCTGACAGAGGGTTGGAAGAGGCAGCATCTTGGCCTTTTGGGGTGGGTGAGGGATTGTTTGCAAGGCTGTTCTAACCTTTTTCTCCCCAGGCTGGGTCAGGCTCACTTATTGCATGTGCCCTGTTCCTTGGGGCCTGGCCCAGACTGGATGTATGCCAGGGTGGGACAGGAGTAAATGGGGGAGGGAGGCATGGAAAACGGTGACTTAGAGAAATATACGGGTTCTGTGTCAGCTTAGGGTGCAGTTGTAAGAAATCTAGCCAGCTATGGAAGCAGAGATTTTATTGAGGAGGATGCCTGTGGCATTGAAGCCAATGGTTGCACTGGTTTAGGGCCTGGCCATTCATCAGGGGTGGGGCACAGGCCTTAGAAAGCCCTTTGCCAGAAAGATAATGGTATAATGACATTTGTTTTTGATTCTTGTCTGTCTCTTCTCTCTCCATCACTTTTCCCTCTTTCTTTTCTTCTCTCCCCTTGGTCCTCCTTATTTCTACCTGCTTCTCCTTTTGCTTTCCTTCCTCCCCAATTTTACGCTTTTCTCCTTATCTCTTCTCCAATCTATCCTTATTCCCTATTCCTTCCTTCTCTCTTATCCCGTGCTTATGGCCTGCTCAACTTCCCTCTGTTTCTCATTCTTCCCTCTTTCCCACCTGCTATTCACCCTATTTTATCTCTCCTGTCCCTCTCCATCCCCATTTTCCTACCCTGCCCTTGTCTTCTCTCTTGGCCCCGTCTCCTCTTCAAATTCCCCCCTGCCCCCCCATCCTCTATGCGTCCCTTTCTTCCTCTCTGACCTGTCTTGCAGGGATTTGACCCATTCCGATTCGGAGTCCTCCCTCCACATGAGTGACCGCCAGCGTCTGGTCCTCAAGCCTCCTCAGATGGTCCGTGCTGCAGATGAGGCTCTCAGTGCCATGACTTCCAACGGCAGCCACCGGCTGATTGAGGGGGTCCATCCCGCCTCTCTGGTGGAGAAACTGCCTGACAGCCCTGCCCTGGCCAAGAAGGCACTGCTGGCACTGAACCACGGGCTGGACAAGGCCCACAGCCTGATGGAGCTGAGCTCCCCAGCCCCACCTAGTGGTTCTCCACATTTGGATTCTTCCCGTTCTCACAGCCCCAGCTCCCCAGACCCAGACACGCCGTCTCCAGCTGGGGACAGCAGAGCCCTGCAGTCTAGCCGAAATACACGTATTCCCCACCTGGCTGGCAAGAAGGCCGTGGCTGAGGAGGATAATGGCTCCATTGGTGAGGAGACAGACTCCAGCCCAGGCCGGAAGAAGTTTCCCCTCAAAATCTTTAAGAAGCCTCTTAAGAAGTAGGCAGGATGAGGGTGGCAGTTGTGGGACAGCTTGTCCTCACCTGGTCTTCTGCCTCCCCTTCCCTCCCTTCCAACATACCTGGCCCCCAGCATGGGGCATGGGAGGGGCTGGCCCTGGGGCCTGGGCACTGTACATACTTGCCCCCCGTATCCTTGGGTCCTTCAACATTATTTATTAACTGACCACCATGGCCTGCCTGCCCTGCCTCCCTCCCAACCATGGGCTGCTGCTGTCACTCCCTCTCCACTTCAGTGCATGTCTTAGTTGCTGCCCCCTCAGCTCTCAGTCCACCTCTGGGGTCCAGCTTCTGTCTCTGCTGTCCCAGTTTTGAGGTTTGGTTTCTTGTTTCTCTCTGTCTCCTGCTTTTGGGCTCTCCCCCCGCCCCCGCCACTCCCCAACTTCCCCTAGAGGCTAGGGGGGAAGAGAGGGGCAGTAGCTTCTGACACCTGTGCCTCAGATCTCTTCCACCTCACCGACCATGGTTCTGTTTGCCCCAGACTGGGGCCTAGGACCTAATATTTGCAGTTTGCTCTCTGGGAGTGTGGTGGGCCAGAGGGAACCTCGGCCTGGAGCTCACTGAGGCCTCCAGGGATCCATGGGGGAGCGAAGCCAACTCCCAGAGAACAAGCCACTAGAGTTCTGAAGAGAGGCTAGGCTAGGGGATAGATCGGAAGACACTTCTCCTAGTTGGAGGATGAGTGGAAGCCAGAGATGTGGGCTACAAAGCAGTCACCTTTTCTCTCTTCTCTCACCCACACCTGCCTCTCTCTTATCCCCGCTCCCCCACCCTGCAGGAGGGTTTGTCTATAAGAGGCGCTGCCCAAATGCTCCCCAAGCCTCATTACTCCTGAGGCTCAGGACAGTGGGCTCCCATGGCCGTGGGAGCCTCAGCTATGATACAGGGCTCTAATGGGGCCTTGGAGCTGCTGGGCAGGATGTTGTCACATTTGAACCAAAAGACAGTTTAAAGTTGAAAAATGAAATCTCCTGAATTTCCCAAGTGCCTGCACTGCATACTTGCCCTGTCAGACCCCATTTTCATGTTACTGCATAGCCTGGGCCAGAGGCTCAAGAAGGACACAGCCTGTTTAGGGAAGGGGGTGGCTAAGGAAGATGGTGTAGGTCAAGGTGGCTGTGTGACCACTCCCCCGCCCTTCCCACCCTCTAGACAACTCTCTCCCTTCCCTGTTTTTGCAATGGCTGTAAAGGTATTTTCCCTCTGCCCCACTCCCTGCCGTGTCTTTACTCTGGGATCCTATTTTGGGCCTGGGGTGGGGGCACCTGGGGCTGGTCTTGGGAGGGTGCTAGGCTGCAGACTGCCTTGTACCCCCTCACATGGGTTTTTCTGTGTTATTTCATAAGACTCTTTGAAGTCCAATAAAGCATGTAGGAGATTTTAACCTCTGCTGGCTTTGACTGACTCTCCTTGTGTTCTCTGTGCTCTTTGTGGCACAGCAGACAGGATGAAGAGACATTTCTCCGCTGCCAAGGGAAAGTGAAACTCTCATACACATTCCCAAAAGCTCTCTGGGTAGGGTTACCAGATGAAATACAGGATACAGTAGTTGAATATTAGACAAACAAATAAATTTTTAGTATAATTATGTCCCATGAAATATTGGTGATACATTTTTATTAGCTAAATCTGGCAACCCTATCTCTAGGCCATCTGACCCTATCTATCATATGGCTTCACTTATCACCTGTGACTGTTAGAATTACAGGCATAACTCATTTTATTGCACTTCGCGAGTATTGCATTTTTTACAGATTGAAGATTTGTGGCAAGCAAGTCTTATCAGCACCATTTTTCTAACAGCATTTGCTTGCTTCACGTCTCTGTGTCACATTTGGTAATTCTTGCAATATTTCAAACCCTCCACCAGCCAAAAGATTACCACTTGCTGAAGGCTCAGATGGTGGTTAACATTTTTTAGCAACAAAGTATTTTTTATTAAGGTATGTACATTTTTTTAATAGACATAATGCTATTGCACACTTAATAGACTACAGTATAGTGTAAATATAACTTTTATATGCACCGGGAAACCAAAAAGTTTGTGTGACTTGCTTTATTGTGATATTTGCTATATTGCAGTTGTCTGGAACCAATATCTTTGAGGTACCACTGTACTTCACAGGAACCTTGGAACCACCTTGAGAGCAGTAAGGAACCAGTGAAAGGTTTTAGGGAGGGGATGCCACGTGAGATATCATAAAAATCAGTCAGCCTAGCCCAAATCGGAAGCTTCTACACCAGCCTTGTGAGTCATGTCTCACCTATTCTGACACCCCACATTCGGTAACCAAGTCCTGTCCATTCTACCTCCACGAGCCACATCCACTGGATAATTCTAAAAGCAAATGGATCATAGCCCTGCCCTGCTCAAAACTCTGCCAGGGCTCGTTCCCATTTCCGTCAAGATAAACTCCAAAGGCCCTTGGCCTAGCAAGGCTCTCTTCCAACCTGACTTGAGTGTGAGATTTCAGGCCGCCCGAAGGGCCCTGGGGCTCCCAGCCTCCGGCCTCCGGCTGCGGATGTCAGGCTAGAGCTCAGCTCGGACGGCAGTCTTCGGTTATCATCACGTAACAGTCTTCAAGACAAGTAAAAACGGATGGTTGGGGTTTTGCTATTTCAAAAATACTCGAACCGCCCTGACTTCTGCGGGGCCTGCCGGCAAGAGAGGCGGAGCCACGCCTGGCCTGCCTCTGCGCGCTAAGTCCGGCCGCGGAGCCCCAGATAGGGCTTTGCCCACACCCAACATGGCGGCCGAAGAGCGGCGTTCCCGCCGGGCGCACCCACACCTAACACGACCGTGGGAGAGGCGCCGTCTCCTGGGCCCTGCCCACACTCAACATGGCGGCTGTGGGAACGACACTCTGCTACGCTAGGCCTGCCCACCGGCCGCGGCGCTGGCAGCGTCGCATAACATCCTGCGAGCTCTGTCGCGCTGCTTTTGCGTTGCGGCTGGCGGGAGCGGGAAGAGGATTCGGATTGCCTTGCCCTGCTCTGTGGAGGGAAAGTGCGCTCTGGCCCTAACGCCAGGCCCTGCACCCGAGCAATCCCTCGAGCCTGACCTTCCGCACTCTGCCACCTTCTCGATCCTGCCGGCGCCTCAGAGCTGCAGCCGCGTCTCGCATCCCTCGGCGCCTCAGCCACTAGTTGCGATGCATGTCATCAAGCGAGGTGAGAGGCCGGGGAGGGGGCGGTGGGGGAGGTACGCGGGCTGCCGCCGCCCTAGCAGTTAGCCGCGCCCGCCCGCCTCCGCCGCTTCCCGCGCTGCCGGCGGCAGCTTCCCGCCCTGTCACCTTCTCGGGCTCCTGCCCTTTCGTCAGTCTGTCCCCAACCCCCCTCTGGCCTTTAGTCTGCGCCCCGTGGCTCTGCCATCCGGCCGCATGTCTAAAGAGTAACACCTTCCCTTTAGCGAATAGTAGCTGTGCGCGCACAGCTCTTTGCAGGCGGTACTTGATTCCTCACCGGGAGCCCCTGAGGTAGGGGTTATTGGGTCCGCCTCGCGGGTGAAGATACTGAAGCGCAGAGAGAGGTGCGGAGACTGCACGGTCACCCGGTTCGATGCTGGTGAGGCCAGGCTTCGAACCCATAGCGAACAACAGAGTTTTATTTGAAAGGCTTGGTCACCTGTCCTAGGCACGGGGGGATCTAGTGAAGCAGGGGCTCTGCACCCTACACGGGCACCTAGCAGCTTCCTGAGCTCTTTTGTGGGGTGAAAAACGTCAGGCTCAGATACAGACATCTCCACGGAGTTTGCCCTTCGTGAGGGATGTGTTGCCGTTTGCCCCAGGAGTGGTCCCAGAGGAGTTTGGGATCGGGACTGGCTGGCCTTACCCTAGATGGTAAGAGATACGGAATTAGAGTAGGGTGGCCAAGACATCTTCTGGCAGCGTGGGGGACCGGGAAGGGCCAGGGACTTGTGTTCTTCCTCAACACTTATTTCCTGTTAGGCTTGCTGAGTACCTTCCTTTGTGTCAGTCCTTTGCTTGATTCTGTGAAATTAATTATAAGAGGAGACAGACTTGCCTCCGGAAAAGATTTAATCAGGTTGGAAAAACAAGAGCAAAACATACTCTTAACAGAGAACCATATGGGACAGGTACGAACACGTTTTGAGTCGACTCTACTTGCCTCTGTTGAAGCAAAGAAGTTATTTCAAAATTGTAGGCACTTAGTGAACACTGATTGACTGATTGTTTTGTCCACTAGGCTGTGAGTGTTTCAAAGATGAGGACTTTATGCCCACACTTAGCACAGGACCTGCCATGAATATAGATGCTCATTCATGAGTGGATGAGAATAATTATTTTAAAATATAGGATATCATGAGTGTTGTGAGTAGGCAGGTAGTTGATTTGGTTGTAACTAGGTGGCGTACAGCTGAGAGATGGACAGTGGTGGACCTTCCCGGCATCAGTATCTTTAGAACATCATTCTCTGAATTTCCCAAGTCTCCCATTTTAGCTGATGAGACCAAAGATCAAAATACATAGTGCACTTTTATTGGTCCATACCTGTGAGTGAGAGAGGAGCATTCAGTTTTTTAAACCTTTAGAAAAGGGTATGTAAGTATGAGGAGCCCTTATGATAAATCTGTAACAGATGAATTGACAACTTGTGGACTTAGATCTCTGGAGTGGGTAACACCTCTGTGTTGCATTTTTAACCTTTTGGGTCCACTTTCAAATACTGTGGTTTAAAAAGTACTATCTACAACAAACAAAAGGCCGGTCTTATTTTGTTTCTCATTCCTTCAGAGAACCTAATATGATCCAGATGGTTTGCTGCTAGACTCTGCCAGCCTTGTTTTTTCATTTCTTTTCTTTTCTTTTTTATTAGTTATCTATTTTATACATATTAGTGTATATATGTCAATCCCAGTCTCCCAATTCACACACACCCCCCGCCCCCCAGCGCTTTCCTCCCTTGTTGTCCATAGGTTTATTCCCTACATCTGTGTCTCTATTTCTGCCTTGCAAACTGGTTCATCTGTAAAGCCTTGTTAATATACGACATTGTACTTAGATTTGTTTCTTTATTTTATTTTTGATCTTTAATTTGCTTAGGGTATCCACCCCCCCCATTTTTGGCATGATAGTATAGTAGCAGACTAACTCATGTAGGTTTTGTTAATCTTAATGTGATTATTCAAGAGGGCAACTAGCAGCCTACCTAAGGTATTACTTACTGAATGTGCTAATATCTTGCTTAGCACCATGAGGGAAATAATAGAGGGAGAAGGCATCTCCATCTTCCATGATCTTAGGGCTGTTAGGGATGCAGGAATAATCCATATGAAAATTGTTAGATAACAGAAGGGAATAGTAGATGAGTTTTTCTCATCTGCTGTCTTGGGCTATTTTTCTTGGTGGGACAGTATTGTATTGCTCAAGGAAATTAAGGTTAAAAAAAAAAGTTGAGAACCAATGGAACAAATGTAGTGTAGCTGAGTTGAAAAGTGTGCTTTGGACTTTAGTATAGTGTTTTCAAAACTGTGCATTTTACATCATGACTGAGTACACACACATGTATAAGTAAATATTTACATAAAACTGAAACAAAAGTTTGCAAAATAATACTTTTTAAAGCATCTGTTTGCCCTCTGATAATCTCTTCTATTCCATATCCTTTGTCTATCCCTCCCTCTCTTCTCCCTTCCTCCCTCCCATCCTTTCTAATTCCCTTTACAGCCCACTGTGTTACTATATTTTACAGATCTGTGTGGATACTGTGCTGGGCACTGAGATTACAGTGGTGAGCAGGCAGACATAGGTCTTGTTTTCAAAAATCTATACAATCAATTGAGAAAGATAGACAAGAACAATAATATAATAAAATATGTTCAATATTCTAATAGGTAAAGTACAGGCTATAGAAGCCCATTCATTCAATTATTCAGAAGGTATTTACAGTCATTCCTCAGTATCCATGGGCATTTGGTTCCAGGACCTGCTGTGGATACCAAAATCCGTTTATGCTCAAGTCCCATAGCAGTCCCTCGGTCTCGGTGGGTTTTGCATCTGTGAGTTCCAGTTTCCCATCCAGGGCTCCAACCAACTGCGGATCGTAAATTGTACATGATCCACGGTTGGTTGAATCTGTTCACGTGGAACCCATGGATACAGAGGGCTGACTGTATTCAGCATCTCTTTATGCCAGGAACTGTTTTAGGTACTGGGGATTCAGCAGTGAACAAAACAAGCTAAATCCCTTTTCTCATTGGAGTTTACATTCTGCGGTGAGTGACAGTAGTTAAGTGTATATAAGAAACAAGTAAACATGTAAGAATCAGTTAATTCCAGATAGTGGTTAGTGAGATGATGGTAGTAAAACAGGGTAATGTGATAAAGATGAATGAGAAAGTAATCTTGGTTTGTATCCTCAGGGAGGGA